TTTTCACTATAAATACTAGCAATGTTTATTTTAACAGTAAAACCCTAGTTAACCAAAATTATTGGTGTATATATATAGTATGTTGGATATGCCTTTATGCATCCTTTTAGCCTTACACCTCACCTGCCTTGCATTCTGGCTGCAGGTGAAGCAACCAGTCTGTCCACCTCCAACCACTTTAGTATAGGTTCCCCTTTATAGCACTTTACCTCGGACCAGTCCACAGGAGCCTCTCATCTTCTGCCCAGGTGTTCTCTTGACCTCACTATGTGAGATGACACAGAAGCATGCTTTGCACCCATGCATCTGTTACCCAAGAGGGTAAAGTGAATCATTTGACCATTGAGAGGTAAATGTTTCTCACTATCTCAGAAGCAGAAGGACATCCTAAAACACATTTCATGTGGCTGGGTGACTGAGCAGCTCGTTACCTGTAGAGATACACAATTGATAATACATTCTCATTTTGCATCTTCTGTTTGGCTCACCTTTGATCCCTGGACTCATACTCCCCAGTAAAGTGTTTTGAAGTAAGACTTTGTCTCAAGCTCTGCTTCCTGGCAAACGCAAGCTAAGATATAACTGTACAACATACACATATATAGTAAGACTTACAGTTGTCACATACTGTTAAGTTATAGCTGTTCGAGAATGGGTGGAAGTCAGTACTACTACCATCATCATTAGCCATGAAAAAGACAAAAGAGATTATATGGCTCAGTGATCTTTCTAAGTTTATGTAAGGCACACATTCTAATTAATTAAATAGCTACAGGTGTATATATCTCAAGTTCAAAAGACTGCTTAACCTTTCCTGCTTTTGTTCACATTAAGAACTAACGCCCTAAGCACCTTTAAAAGAGCAGATTTATTTGTTTGTTTCTTTGTACAGAGGCATAGTATAGCTCTGTTGCCCAGGCTGATCTCAAACTCCTGAGCTCAAGCAATTCTCCCCCCTCAGCCTCCCAAAGTGTTTGGATTACGGGTGTGAGCGACCACATCCAACCAAAAGTGGATATTTTTTTTAACTTTCCCAGTGGCAGAAGGGAAGTCAACCAACTCATAGGTTCATACATACAGAAAATCACACAGAAACCTTGCTTAACCATTACACACACATACACACACACTTGCATACACACACACACACACACACACACACAGAGTTGTATACACATACACCGACCCAGGGGAACAACGGCATATTCACACAGCAATTAGGATACACAAAATAGACTAAAACTTAGAGATAAATCTTTTGAACAGGACGTCTTTTATCCAGGTAATTACCTGATGATCATAGTGTAAATTATGCTATCATAAATAAAAATAAGACACAAAATAGATTATATAAATTCTAAGTCTTTACTCAACTAACTTTCTCAAATTGTGCTGGACACAGACAAGTCATATACTAGATTCAATACTGTTAATTATACATAGTAATATTTTCTAATATCCATGTAGTACTTTATATTTTAATAACTTTTTCACTGAGTTGTCTTATTTAATCCTCCAAATCTGTGAAATAATTGATTTTATCATTCCCATATTGCAAATAAAGGTCAGAGAGGCTAAATAACCCATAGAGGATACAGTATACTGCCTGCACTGCAAAGTCAGAATTTGTAGAACTGTTTATTGAGCCACCCTTTCAAACTCCTTTATCTCTGATTATCCCTTAATATTGTCTCACATATACCAGCTTCTTACCACCTCTCTAACTTGACATTCTAAAAGGATCCCAAATGTCTGGTTTCATTTCCCTATATTTTACTACTACTTAGTGTTTTTATGGTCTCTTCTGCTTCTAAACATTTAGAGCAACCCAAATTACCCATAAACCACAAAGCTATGATGATTGTGCACACCAGTTGGCTGCCTTCCTAGCAGTCCTCCCCAGTTTCTTCCATGCTTAAAGGGCCCTGATTTCATCTGGTGCCTACCTCTCTTCATGCCACAAGAACCAAGGAGGGGTTACCCTATTTTCAGTTCCAAGAGTAAATCTTGATAGGCCTATGCCAGTAATTATGACCCCAGTTCTTTTTCCAAGGATTGGTTTAAGCACAATCACATGACATAATTTCATACAATGAGACATACATGAGGGAGATGATATGGGAGAAACTTATGGAAAGGTTTTCCACTATTGTTATGAGCTGAATTGTGTTAAACTTATATGTTGAAGCTCTAACTCCCAGTACCTTAGAATATAATGCCTTTGGAAATAACGTTTCTTGTTGTTTTGTTTTTTTTTTTTAAGGTAGAGTTTTGTTCTTGTTGCCCAGGCTGGAGTTCAATGGCACAATCTCGGCTTACTACAACCTCCGCCTCCCAGGTTCAAGCGATTCTCCTGCCTCAGCCTCCCAAGTAGCTGGGATTACAGGTATGTGGCACCATGCCCGGCTAATTTTATATTTTTAGTAGAGACAGGGTTCCAGCATGTTAGTCAGGCTAGCTGATCTCGAACTCCTGACCTCAGGTGATCCCACTTCGGCCTCGCAAAGTGCTGAGATTACAGGCGCGAGCCACCACACCCAGCTGAGATAATGTCTATAATGAAGTAACTAAGATTAAATGAGGTTGTATGGGAAGTCCCTAATCTAATCTGACTGATGTCCTTTTGAGAGGAACTGTGGACACCCGAAAAGACACCAGGGATAAGCAAACAGAGGAAAGACTATGTGGGGACACACAGAATGTGAGCATGTGCAAGCCAAGGAGGATGGCCTCAGAAAAAAACAAACCTGTGATATCTTGGTCTTGTACTTCGAGACTACAGACTATGAGAAAATAAATTTCTGTGCTTTATTATGGCAGCCCTGGAAATCTAATGCAATCATTTAAAAATTACATGTAAATAAATTTTAAAATAATGACACAAGGAAGGAAGCACCCTTTCTGTTACTAGACATTTTGATATCTGATTGTGAAGATGGAAACTGTTTTAGCCATCTTACACCTGTACAGAGAATACATCTGAGAACTGGTTTCCATGTTGAGTACAGCAGATCTACAAAAATGTGTATAACAAAAACCGGTTTTCTTGATGATGCTCTTAAGCCAAGTTAACTAAACTTGGATCACTCTGTCTTCAAGAGTCCTCTTATATGAAATTATGTTTTCCTGATTTATTTAAGCTGTGGTTTTCTGTTAATTATAGCCAAAATCGCCATATTGATACAATCAGTTGGAAAAAGTTCAGCTGTTGACAAGCTAAGGCTGTTTCAGCCGTTACTCTAGACTTTACTCCTTTATTCCTCATTCGTTCCTAGTTGTCTTCCGTTTCAAACTCTATATTCTTGGCTCTTAAACTTTGCCTCCAACCTGCCTCAGAGCTTTTAACTTAACTGTAACTTATCCATAGTTTCCTAAGCATTTCACTCTCAATTGCTCCCTATAAACTTGTTTAGTTTCTCTTAGGTGGGAATTACAATCTTGGATCTATCGACTTAAAATGAAGTCCAAGGTCAGTTCCAAAATGTAGGCAAAATCAGAAAGATATGCTAATAACCTACCTTTTAGTTGACATGGCCAACCCAATACATACATCTGTGTTATGCCCTGTTTATAAGTAATGGCAAATTGCTGAAGGACTGACATCCAATTTTATATAGGCAAAAAGTCTGAGACCTCAAACCCGATTTCCTAATACCAAATACTTTGCTAATTCCATTATTGTATCAGTTAATAAATAGGATGTTAATATATTGGGACCAGATAGTATTCACTTAACAGTTTTTAAAAAATTATAAGTTGAAAATGTAGAAATACATATAATTTCTCGTTAATTTTGTAAATAGGCAGAGATTTAAGGACTTATAAATTATTAAAAGGATCTTGGAATTATAGACTCTTGCCCCCCTACTTGGAAGTTTCATAAAATCTTTATAAGCAAGAGACTCTGTGATGAACCCCTTTGTGGATACAGATAGAATGAATACATAGAGCTTAATCTATAATCCAAAATTTAGTGGGAGAAACATGCTATCAGGTAAACATTTTACTTTTTGTATCTTACTTACAAATACATTGACCTTAATCCAGCTATTGATAATATCATTGACTTCCAGAGGTTTTTTTTTTTTTTTTTTTTTTTTTTTTTGGCTTATTTGTTTCTGGCTATCTCCCTTTTGGATTCTCTCACCTTGTTTTTGTAACCTGTCTTTCATATTTCCAATCTCATTTCCTGCTTTTTGCATCACTTTCCATCAGGTATTAATTTCTGTGTTCCTAGCCATAACCAGTTAACCTAAATGTCATTCTTGACAATGCTTTGTATCTAATAATCCATTTTAATGGTCTTGGAACTGCACAATATCTTGACTATACACTCAACACTGAAGTTCAGCAAAAGAACCCATGTTCCTTTCCCTGACTCAATAAATATTTAGAGAGGGTAATCTACTGGGAAAAGAGTAATGTGGTTTCTGTAAGGGAATATTATAGTCATCTAGTAGCATTCTTTGAAGAGGTAAATTAAAAGATAAATAAGAGATAGGGTGTGATGCCTCACACCTGTAATCCCAACCCTTTGGGAGGCAAAGGCCAGTATGGATCATCTGAGCATAGGAGTTTGAGACCGCCCTGACCAATATGGTGAAACCCCGTCTCTACTAAAAACAAAAATTAGCCAGGCATGGTGGCATTCCATGCCATTCCTGTAATTCCAGCTACCTGGAGGGCTGAGGCAGGAGAATTGGTTGAGCCCGGGAGGGGGCAATTACAGTGAGCTGAGATCACACCACTGTACTCCAGCCTGGGCAACAGAGCAAGACTCTGTCTCCAAAAAAATAATAAGAAAATAGATAAATAAGGACAACAAGCAAAGGTTAAGTGTCTAGACTTTAAATTCAGACCTTCCAATGAGAGATTATCTTAAAGGTGAATCACTCACTATTGGATTATACAACTAGCAGCCATCTGTATCCATGGGTTCCTCTTTCATGGATTCAACCAGCCAGAGATCAAAAATACTCAGGAAAAAAATGCATTGGTACTGAACAGGTACAGAAGCATTTTTTTTCTTGTAATAGTCCTAAAACAACACAGTATAACAACTATTTACATAATATATTTATTGTATTAGGTATTATAATGATTTAAGAGATGATATATGAAGTATACAGAAGCATGTGCATACGTTACATACAAACACTTTATCAGAGACTTGAGCCACTGCAGATTTTGGTATGCTCCACAGAGCCTGGAATTAATCCCCCGTGAATACTGAGGGACAACTGTATTCACAGAAAATACTTTATCATGGATTCTAAAAAATGTTAGTGCCAAAAATTAGAGCATGAATTTTAGAGGAAGCCAGGCAATGGGAGAGATATCACAGAGATCAGTACTGAGATTAACTTTGGTCAATAACTTTTTTTTTTTGAGACAGGGTCCCACTGCAGTGGCGTTATCATAGCTCATTGCAGCCTCTATCTACCGGACTCAAGCCATCCTCCCACCTCAAACTTTTGAGTAGATGGGACTACAGGCATACTACCATACCTCACCTACCTTATTTTATTCTATTATTTTATTTATTTGATTCAGAGTCTTGCTCTGTCACCCATGCCAAAGTGCAGTGGCATGATTTTGGCTCACTGCAGCCTCTGCCTCCCAGGTTCAAGTGATTGTCCTGCTTCAGCCTCCGGAGTATCTGAGATCACAGGCAGCAGCCACCATGCCCAGCTAAATTTTTTTGTATTTTTTTAGGAAAGACGGGGTTTCACCATGTTGGGCAGACTTGTCTCAAACTCCCGACTCAAGTGATCTGCCAACTTCAGCCTCCCAAAGTGCTAGGATTCATGCCTATAGCCACCATGCCTGGCAATAATTTTTGAAATAGAAGACGACTGTAGAGTATCATTTCATAATTTAAAAATGACTTGTCAGTGATGAATTATAAAGATAAGGGAAAAGTTTAGGAAATTTCACAAGGTAGGCAGTTGGACAGAAATTTAAGATATCAACTTCGTGATGAGAAAAGTAAGGTCCTATTATGGGCTGAATTGTGTTTCCTGAAGATTCATATGCTAAATAAAGTCCTAACCGCCAGTACTTCAGCGTGTGACCGTATTTGGAGACAGTGTCTTTAAGGAGGTAATTAAGTTAAAATGAAGTCAGTATGGTAAGCCCTAATCTGATATGACTGATGTCCCTGTAAGAAGAGGAAATCTGAACACAGGTGCACAGAGGGAAGATGATGTGAAGACATAGGGAGAAGATGGCCATCAACAAGCCAAGGAGAGAGGCCTCAGAAGAAACCAACACTGCCAACACCTTAATCTTGGACCTACAGACTCCAGAACTGTGAGGAAATAAATTTCTGTTGTTTGAGCCACCCAGTCTATGGTCCTTTGTTACGGCAGCCCTGAAAAAATAATAGAGGTCCTAAAGGTAGATGTAATGTAAATGATGGCCAGGGAATAATTGGCTTAGTGTGCCATTTGGAAAAACCAGACAGAGAACTTGTTATCAGTCTAATGTGGTTCCAGTAGACAAAAAGATCATCAGATTATTGAGAAGCAGAAGGCAGTGAGTTGAAAGCAGAATAGAAGGTACTTTTATATTTGGCACAAACCATGTACAGTCACTCAAAAATCACCTTAGGATGCATATATTTAAGCAGATTGCACAGAAAGTAATAACTCCTAGTCTACAAAAATGAAATACAAATACAATGAGGAAGACAAAAGGGAAGGGAAAGAAGAAAAGCGCTAACCCTTATAAGTATTCATTCAATCCTTACAGCCACTCCTATGAGTGAGTAAACTGAACATTATTGTCCCCACTTTCGAAAGGAGGAAACTGAATCACAGAAAGAGTAAGTAAACTTCTCAGGGTCACACGGAATGTGAAAAAGCTATGATAAATAATAGATCTATTAATATATGAACAAATCAAAAAATTTAAAACCTTCTATTTTCTACTCTCATATTTTCTTACTAACAACAGAAAAGAACTTTACTTTACATATGCAGATATAGAGGAAAGGATATTGGGCCTGATTCATTTTTTATCTTAATATTTCTGTGTGTCCATTCTTAAACAAGTAATGGAAACTACACTCAATCTAGAACCTATCAGCCTTATTTTGGCAAAACAATCCCATCGTCTTCTTCTGCATCTACCCTTGACCTCATTGCAAAATCTAACACAATCTGATAACAGAAGAGAAGGAAAGAGAAAAATGTGAAGGAACTATGTTTAACCTTAAGAAAAGCGTGGCTTCTGGTTTGAACAGTGGTCCTGTGTAGTTTCACCTAAATTTTACCTGTTTAGAAAACTCTTGCATGCCACTCTGTGCTGTGAAACTGCTACATGGTTGCATTTCAATAGTAAGTATGCAAACCAGTGAGTAAAGCAAGCCATGATATTTTGTGAACCTACTAATGGAGAAGATCATATCAGCACTATTATTTCAATACAGAAATACTCAAAGGTAGTGCATACAGAAATAAATAGAAATCATAAAATGCATAAAATTTTAAATTATATTTTACACTAAAAAAATAATGTAGTCAGTGTGCTCTGGACATTAAGTGCATTAATAAGTACATGCTTCAAAGTTTACCTTCTTTTTCTATTCCTCCCTCATGCCCCCCGCCAAAAAAAAATAGGCAAGAGAAAATTTTCTAGGTCTACTCTAGCCTAAAGAAAAGATACCTTTTGTGAATGCTAAGTAGGAAGACAAAAAATGAAGGAAAGAGACTATAATGGTCTCAGATACTGTATAAAGAATAATTCTACAGCTGAAGTATTTGGGCGCTTTTTGGACCTTTTTTTTTTTTTTTTTTTTAAGATGGAGACTTACTCTGTCACCCAGGCTGGAGTGCAGTGGCGCAATCTCAGCTCACTGTGTATTTGGGTGCTTTCTTTGTGCAATAAGCCTTTATAGACTTAGCTTATGTGTTGTTATTTATTGAGCACCTGACTAATTGCAGCAGGTGGGTTCCTTTAAAGAAAAAACAGGCCAGGTGCGGTGGCTCACGCCTGTAACCCCAGCACTTTGGGAGGCTGAGATCGGCCGATCACTTGAGAAGAGCAGTTGGAGACCAGCCTGGCCAATATGGTGAAATTGAGGCACAAGAACCACTTGATCCCCAGAGGCGGAGGAGACAGTGAGCCAAGATTGTGCCACTACACTGGGTGACAGAGTGAGACTCTGACATGGTTTGGCTGTGTCTCCACCCAAATTTCAGTTTGAGTTGTATGTCCCAGAATTCCCACGTATTGTGGAAGGGACCCAGAGGGAAGTAAGTCAATCTCGGGGCCGGTCTTTCCTGTGCTATTCTCGTGATAGTGAATAAGTCTCACGAGATCTAATGGGTTTATCTGGGGTTTCCGCTTTTGCTTCCTCCTCATTTTTCTCTTGCCCCTTCTGAGAAGTACTTTTTGCCTCCTATCCTGATTCGGAGACCTCCCCAGCCGTGTGAATTTGTAAGTTTACTCTTTTTTACCTTAAACTGTAAGGTTTAACTCTTTTTCTTCCCAGTCTCGGATATGTCTTTATTAGCAGAGTGAAAGCAAACTAATACAGACTCTGTCTTAAATAAAATAAAAAGCAGAAACATCTTTTAAAAAACTAGACTTAGAATATTTGAAAAGACAACAAAGAGTCCCTATATATATATATATATATATATATAATTTTTTTTTTTCTTTTTAAGACAGAGCCTTGCTCTGTCACCCAGGCTGGAGCGTAGTGGTGCAGTCTTGGCTCACTGCAACCTCGGCCTCCCAGGGTCAAGCTATTTTTGTCCCTCAGCCTCTCAAGTAGCTGCACATGCATCACCACTACTGACTTTTTTTTTTTTTTTTTTTTTTTGAGACAAAGTCTTGCTCTGTCACCCAGATTGGACTGTAGTGGCATGATCTGGGCTCACTGCAACCTCTGCCTCCCGGGTTCAAGTGATTCTCCTGCCTCAGCCTCCAAAGTAGCTGGGATTACAGGCCCATACCACCAAGCTGGCTAATTTTTTTTTTTTTTTTAAGACAGGGTTTCACCATGTTGGTCAGGCTGGTCTTGAACTCCCGACCTCAGGTGATCCGCCCACCTTGGCCTCCAAAGTGCTTGGACTACAGGCGTGAGCCACTACGCCTGGCCAAAGCTGGCTAATTTTTGTGTTTTTACTAGAAACAGGGGTTTCACCATGTTGGTCAGGCTGGTCTCCAACTCCTGACCTTGCGATTGCCCGCCTCGGCCTCCCAAAGTGCTGGGATTACAGGTGTGAGCCACCAGGCTGGCCAGATTCCATAAATTTTCATCAACTGTTATTTTCTTAGAATGAATGCTCTATTGCCAAATTCGCCACTTCATTGTCAGTGTTTTTTTAATCAACAGGGAGGAGACTGTTACACAGGAATTGAATTTGTTTTATTGAAAATTGGAATTGAATTAGTTCAGATAATATCCTTAACTTTCTTATGTCTCTCCATTCACTTTCAATTGTTTAAATTATAACAAGTTTCATTGGAAAAGATACATACTTTTACCGTCTCTTTGGATTAAAGGTAATCTGAAATAAATTGATTGCTTTTGCTAAATGGATAAATAGAATTACAATAGTATTATCAGATCTTAGATAACACTAGTAGAATATATACACAGGTAAGACTCATCTAGTTTTATTTTAAATCTCATCTTTTTAAAATACAATGGAGACAAATTTGCTATTAAATAATTCATTTGCAATGTATAAATGCCCTTAATGGTCAATCCTATTTGGGTTTGAGAAAAACATGACATTTTCAAGTTATCTTAGTTGGTGTAGGTTTACAGGTAACAGAAGGGAAGTAAGAACCAGGAGATTGTGTCTTAGCAACTATTCAGCCAGCAGCTGGAATTGTAGCTTATTTAGAACGCAATGTAGAGGACTGACAGCAGCTCTTACACTCGACAGCAACATCTGCAAAGATCCATTCAGCAGTAAACTTCTGTTGCTTTCTAAGACAAGGATTCCCAACTTGTAAGTGGGTTGATTTCAGTCTTTGCTTGTACTTCTGTATC